AGATCTAATACTATTGAAACATTATAAGAAAGACATTTTAGAGTTTTAAAAAAATAGTGGATTTAACTATTTATTATTAAGATAAAAAATGGACTTATCACCAAATAAATTTATTTGACAGACTCAAATTATTATAATTTATTTAAGGGTTCTTTGAAAATCGGTACACCTAATTAGACTTATTTGACAAAAAGTACATAGAATAAAATGTGAGTTATAATGACATAAATGCCCATTTTAGGGTCATTTAATTCAAAATCTCTTATTTTTAATGCACCTTGATTCATATGTGTTTGTTAATACATATAAATACGTATTTATATACATATACTTTTTTTTTGGTAAGTATATATATACATATACTTAAACAAGTATATATACATATATATATATATATATATATATATATATATATATATATATATATACTTGTTAAATCTTTTATTTAAATTTTAAATTATCTTTAATGCACCTTAATTCATGCGTATTTTTTTTTTTTGGAAAGTGATTTTGTTTTCAAATTATATTTAATGCACCTTAATTCAAGCGTTTTTTCTTTTTTTGGAAAATGGTTTTATTTTCAAATTAATTTAATATCCGAATAATGTAATAGTGTAACAATAACAATATAACAAATACACTGTAACAAAAATAGTGTTCAGTAGTTTTGTGTTTGTGGTAACAAATTTAAAATGGAGATGAACTATTTTGAATGAAATTATATGTTTGACAAAATGTAATAGTACAATATTTTATGTAAATAATTTGTTACACTGTTATTGTTATACTGTTACACTTTTATTGTTATATTATTATTGTTACACTATTCAGATATTAAATTAATTTAAAAATAAAATCACTTTCTAAAAAAAATGCATGAATCAAGGTCCATTAAAAGATAATTCAAAATTTAGATAAGAGATTTAACAACAAGTATATACATACATACATATGTGATATTTTCAAATTGTAATAGTATATGTATCAAACTATAACAGTATATGTATTAATAGTATATATATATATATTAAATTGCTCCCATAAAATTATGAGATGTTTAATGCACTACTTTCCAAATAAAAATGGTGCATTAAATACACATGGATTAATGGAGGGCAAAAATGTCACAAAAAAATCAATAAAATTCAAATAATGTACTTAAATACAAATAAGTATCAAAATTAAAAATTTAATTACCCAACATTTTTTTCTATATATCTTTTTATAATTAAATCTAATTTAGTGTACTTATTTTCAATTTTCCCTTTCTAGATCTTAATTTTCACTAAGATTTATGAATAAGCCCAATCGGAGACGTCCCATCTACAATTGGGCTACTCTTCTTGGACTAGGCCCAATTTAGGAAACTCTAGACTTCCCAAGGTCCAACTGACAAAAAGAATTGCCTTTTTGAGGTTGGTCTTTTTTTTAGATTTATTTGAATTTAAGTTTACTCAAAAAATTTGATTGGAAATTAGGTCATTTTGATTCCTATTGTCTAAAATATTTTTAATAATTATATTTAATCAAAATTTATTTAAAAAAACTAATAACTCTTAAATTGAATATTGTATTAGTATTGAGGCCAACGCTTTTGATAAATAAGTAAGCTCTAGGTCCTTGATAAAAAAATACTTGCAATCCGTAGAAAGACATGCTCAGACCGAGGTGCTATAGCAGATGAGCAACTCAATTTCTTTATCAGCAAAGACCAAGAATTTTGTTAGTATTAATTTTTTTTTTTATCATATGCATATATACAATAACATACTAAAAAAAAAAAATAATAACATCAAACAGTAACATATTCAACAAAAAATTTAACTATTACAATAGAGTGACAACGTACAATAGTACTTATTTTGTTATGGGTAAGACAATAGTTTTAAGTACTCGCGTATGATATCACTTTATTGCAATGATTAAATATTTAATTAAATTGTTTATTTAGTATGTTATTGTTTAATGTTATTATTTTTTTATTGAATATGTTACTGTTTGAAAATATTGAGACTGATAGGTAGTATTTATGATACGAGTAATTAGGTAATAAAAATATGGATTTATTTAATGACAATAGTCTGATGAAAATGAAGTCTTAATAGAATATAAGTCTGCTGTAATATTTAAAAATCAAATAAAGTCTAAAAAATATCAATGATTAAATATCCGCAAAAAAGAAATAATTTGGGTCGTGGGCTTCCTTCGCAGCACAACCGACAATCATGTCATTTTCGTTTCCTTATTTTTATTTTGTCTGTAAGTAACCGATGACCATCTCAATTTAACCCCAAAAATAATATTAAAACTAAGTAAGTTCTGAAGGATGAACTGAAATCCCAAAGAGCAAGCAATATCTCCCAACGAACGAGCAATATCTCCCAACTAACGAGCAGTATCTGGATATCATTACACTCTCTAATGTTATCCAAGTGAAAAATTGATCGTCTCCGAAGAGGTCAGTTATACTCTGATTATTATTCTTTCAGTGAATAATCTCTGTTTTATCTTGTCCTATACAATTTTCGTTGAGTTTGTACAATTTTCGTTGAGTTTGTTTATATTTTTGTTTTTGTGCACGTGTTATCTTGGTTGACTCAGTTGATTTTGTTATAGTTCATGGAAAATCTAACACTAACTCACTCTGAATTTGGTTTTTTTTTTTTCTTAACAGGAAATAAAATGAGCTAATTCTGGGTAACAGATTGAGAAATATTCAGCTGATTATATCAAATTCATCACTGAAATCAATAATAGATAGTCCTATTATCTTTGGCTTTTCTTCTATGGTAGATGTATCCACAGCTATGCGTTATTTTACNCTTTTTTTGGAAAATGGTTTTATTTTCAAATTAATTTAATATCCGAATAATGTAATAGTGTAACAATAACAGTATAACGAATACACTGTAACAAAGAGAGTGTAACAAATACACTGTAACAAAAATAGTGTTAAGTAGTTTTGTGTATGTGGTAACAAATTTAAAACGGAGATGAACTATTTTGAATGAAAGTATATGAAACTATATGTTTGACAAAATGTTTTGACAAAATGTAATAGTATAATATTTTGTGTAAATAGCTTGTTATACTGTTACACTTTTATTGTTACATTGTTATTGTTACACTGTTATACTTTTATTGTTACACTGTTATTGTTATACTGTTACACTATTCGGATATTAAATTAATTTGAAAATAAAACTACTTTTTAAAAAAACTAATGCATGAATCAAGGTACATTAAAAGATAATTTAAAATTTAGATAAGAGATTTAACAACAAGTATATATATACATACATATATATAAATATGTATTTATGTATATATAAAAATGTACATATATTAATATATATATATATATATTAAAGTTCTCCCATAAAACTAAGAGATGTTTAATACACCACTTTCTAAAGAAAAGTGATGCATTAAATACACGTGGATTAATGGAGGGCAAAAATGTTACAATAAAAATAGATAAATTCAAATTATGTACTTGGATACAAATAAGTATTAAAATTAAGTA